AAAAACAGCACCATCACAATAAACTAGCTAGCAGTAGATAACAGTAGATACTAAATATTAAACGATATTGTGCAGCACGCAAGATAGACAGCGCACAATGTGCTTTGAGGCAGCAGCCAAGAAAGCTGTAGTCCGCGTCTGTGAACACCCGTGTGTACACCTGTGTACACCTGTGTGGATCAGCATGCTTGTATTCCAAAGGTCAACTTTTGGTCAACTTCAACAAATAATGTTTAAAAATCCTCCCGAAGCACAGATGTATGTGACACGAACTGATTCCCTGACAGGCTCATTTTTAATTATCGCCTGGTGCCTGATGTTTGTATTTATTTATTTCCATCAAAAAAAAAAGAAAACGAGTAAAACCTTAATGGAGGTGGGTTTTATTATACCGCTGTTCTATAAGTTTTAATTGGATGCACCTGTTATTTTGGAAGCTGATTAAAAGTTTTATATGTGCAAATGATTGACAGTCAGACTTCTCCCGTTCCTCCAGCTCCCACCATTGAGTTCGAGCAGGCGTCCTTTCAGGTGAGAGAGCCTCCCGGTCCAGATGGCATCGAAGTGCTCAACATCAAAGTGATCCGCAGAGGAGATCTGGACCGAACGTCCAAGATCCGTTGCAGCACCCGGGATGGATCGGCCCAATCTGGAGTCGACTACAATCCCAAGAGTCGAGTGCTTAAATTCACCCCGGGTAAGTGCTGAAAATGCTCCTCGTTGGGACTTGGGAAGAGTGTTAGTGGGATGATTTTACTGGGAGTAAATATGTTTTGTTTTTCTCCATAGGCATGGACCACATCCTCTTTAAAGTGGAGATTTTGTCCAATGAGGACAGAGAGTGGCACGAGTCCTTCTCATTGGTCCTTGGGCCTGATGACCCGGTGGAGGCAGTGCTTGGGGAGATCACAATGGCCACAGTGACCATTCTGGATCAGGAGGCGGCAGGAAGTCTCATCCTACCTGCCACGCCTATTGTAAGGAACCTTGGAGGATACATGAAGCAGGAGCAGTAGAATAGAAGAAGTGGAGGATATGTTCAGCCTTTAGGAGAACTTTAGCATTCAGCTGAGAACTTAATCTTTTGTCTATTTTCTGCAGCACTTAGAGAACCTGTCACTTGAAACGTCTCCACTCCTGGCAAAAGCACATCTCTCCCCTAATACATATTCAGAGAACTCCAAAAAAGCAGCAGCAAACGTGGGCAGCATTTTCCCTCAGGCACTTGTTTATAGGCTTTTACATTTCTTATGCATTTACCAGAACCACTTGCAATGAATATATCTATTCAGCTGCCATTAAAATATTATATGGTGGGTGATTTTACCCCAAACGACTTTTTAGGAGGAATCTCATCTCATACTGTGTTTTGTACACCAGCCCCTTGAAATGTAAAAGCTGAACTCCTCTCATTTACACGATCTCCCACCCTCCTTCCTGCTCAGGTGGTCTCTCTCGCTGACTACGATCATGTCCAGGAGGTGATCAAAGAGGGCAGCAAGAAGACTCCCTCTCCAGGTTACCCTCTGGTGTGTGTCACCCCCTGTGACCCTCATTACCCCAAGTACTCTGTGATGAAGGAGCGCTGTGAGGAGGCGGGAATCAACCAGACCCAAGTTCACTTCTCGTGGGAAGTGGCGGCTCCCACTGACACCAGCGGCGCCCGATCCCCCTTTGAGACGGTCACAGATACAACCCCGTATACTAGCGTCAACCATATGGTGAGTTAAACTAAGGAGTCAAATAAATCTGAAATTAAGAGGCGAATACATTAGGTTGTTATTTAATAGGATTTATTGGCAGTAAGACAATAAAATTATGTTTAAAATTTTCCCCTGTGTGTGGAAACTCTCGCGTCTCTCAGGTTCTGGACAGCATTTATTTCAGCCGGCGCTTCCACGTTCGCTGCGTGGCTCAGGCCAGAGACAAAGCTGGACACCTGGGAACACCGCTGAGGAGCAACATCGCCACCATCGGCACAGAGGGCTCCATCTGCCACACACCCGTCACCACGGGCACCGCCAGAGGCTTCCAGGCTCAATCCTTCATCGCCACACTCAAATACTTAGACGTCAAGCACAAAGAGCACCCCAACCGGTCCGTAGCGGCTTTTTAAACCAGATAAGCATCTTCACCAAGAGTTTATGCTAATTTCTGCTCCTCTCTGTATGTCCCGGTTTAGGATCCACATCTCAGTCCAGATCCCCCATCAGGATGGAATGCTCCCCCTGGTTTCCACCATGCCGCTGCACAACCTTCACTTCCTGCTGTCAGAGTCGATCTACAGGCAGCAGCACGTCTGCTCCAACCTGGTCACCCTCAAAGACCTTCAGGGGATCGCCGGTCAGTCACACAAACACAGACCTCCTCACAGCTGGAAATTTCATCTTCAGGAGGCTGCAGTGTGATTAGATCCACATTTGAACCATTTACAGTATCTAGGGCTCACGTTTGAATTACCACCATATTAAAATTCTTTAATTTTCTGCTGCAGTCAGCTTCATCTTCTCGTGGTTTAATATTTTACAGGCAGCCAATTTTAATCAATGCTTGCAAGATTTCCTGATCGATTTAAAAAATAATTATTAAACCAGACGTGTAGTTTTCTTACTTTTCTTTGACAACACTCTTCCTCAGAGTCGGGCTTCCTCGATGATGTATCGTATGACAGCATCTCCCTGGGGCCCGGCTACGACCGCCCCTACCAGTTCAACCCCAACGTCCGCGAGGGCAAGAGCCTCCAGTTCTATAAGCACCTCAACCTGAAGAGCTGCATCTGGACCTTCGATGCCTACTACGACATGACAGAACTCATCGACGTGTGCGGGGGCTCAGTCACCGCGGACTTCCAGGTGCGTAGGACGGTCAAAGGCAGAGTCTTTAAAACAGTCGCTCTTCACAATGTTTTCAGTCTTCTTGATAAATTGAATCAGTTGTTATGGAAGAGTTATTTATGTGTGCAAAAACAAAAATATTTGATTTTAAAAATCAATTATAAAACTCAGTGGCAGCAAAGGTGAAGAAGGTGAAATGGGGGAGATAGAGGGGAAAAAAGGTTACTCATAAAGGAATCTAAAAGCATAACACAAAAACAAGAAGAGTACAAGAAGACCACTGGGAGCAGAAAACAGATGTCTTGACTAAGGAAAGACAAAACTATCCCCAGACTGCACATCATCGACTTCGCTCCTCACGTCTTAGTCCCTCCCTCCAGAGACCCAAGTGAAGGAGGCGAGCAAGCGATACGATGAGAGAATGCAACGTGCATTTACTTGTTGATTAGGAGCTTCATTTTCAGTAACCTATGACATTTCACACAGCTGCCAGTGCAGCTGTAGTTTGGTTTTTATATTTAAATGGAAAAACACCCCTGCAGAGGACACACCTGTGTATTCTTGATCGTTTAAACCCATATCATTCTCAATAAAACATAGAAAACACATCGCATGTTTAAATTGACACATTTCACTATGTTATGGAAATCTTTAGCTCATTTTGATTTTGATGTCAGCAACACACCTCGAAAAAGTTGAGACGGGAGCAACAGAAGGCTGGGAAGTGATTTTGGTTTGCTGGCAACATGTCAGTAACAGACTGGGTGTAAAAAGAACATCACAGGACGTTTCTAATGAGTAAAGATGGGCAGAGGTTCAACAATCTGCAAGAAAAACCTCCCAAAAAACTGTGGAACAATTTTCATAATTTCCTCAATATAAAACTGCAAGCACATTGAATATCATCATCTACAGTTCGTACTATTAAAAGATTTAAAGAAGTCTCTGTGTGCACAAATGCAGGTTAAAGCACTTCGATGGGTTTATATTTCTCCTCAGTCCTCAACGTCGGACTGATTGATTTTCAGGTTACAGGCGGGAGAACAGAGGAGATGAGGAGGCACAGATAAAGGCATTTGACATGAGAAAGGTCTAAAATATGCACAGGAGTGATTGCAGGATAGGGTACATGTAGACAGCCCCAGAAACAGAACCTGGGACCGTGACTGTGTTGGGATGTGGACGTCCATCATGTATTCATAGTGCATCTATTTGATGGTGAAATAATGCTCTGTACTGTGTGTAAAGTCCTCACAAACAGAAGAAAGTTCTCTGTGACCCTCTGAGAGAATTAACATTAAAGGCTGCTGCTATTCTTCCAGGTTCGGGACTCTGCTCAGTCCTTCCTGACGGTGCAGGTTCCTCTCTATGTCTCCTACATCTATGTCACAGCCCCGAGAGGCTGGGCCTCTCTGGAGCATCACACCGAGATGGAGTTCTCTTTCTTCTATGACACCGTGCTCTGGAGGACAGGTCAGGAGTTTATGTCTATGAACTCTGCACACCTTATTATTGTCCACAGTCCTGGATGTAAACATATAACGGGATGTGTTTTGGTTTCACATTGTAGTTTTGCTTTCATTGTGCAGGGTAACAATGTTTATTTCCTTTCTGAAAAATGGGATAATGATGAAAATGCATTGTAGAAATAAATCATTTAAGATTTAAGACTGTTTCCAAGTATCCAAGTTCTTATTCAAGAAATTATTAGTGATGTACTTCTACTCTAATTTAGGTTTTCTTTGGCTGGCTTTTCATGTCTGCAGGTATCCAGACTGACAGCGTCCTCTCAGCCAGACTGCAGATCATCAGGATCTATATCAGGGAAGACGGTCGGCTGGTAATTGAGTTTAAAACTCACGCCAAATTCAGAGGTCAGTCCACAAACACACGTTCTAAGAGCATTGCATAGAATTATTATGTCTGCCTTAATATTATTATTGATACAAGAAATGGAAGCTAATGAGAGAGCAGTCTGTGATCGAGGTAAATCGATGTAAATCCATCTTTTATTACAGCAATGAGGAGGCCACTGAGAGAGGAAATTAAACTGACAATTTAAGGTTTTCAGTTTTATCCCACAGTTCTACACAGTTCTAGCCTTTATGGTCAAACATTTGTTATTTTTTAATTTAGCTTCAGGTTTTCGCTGTGTTTGTAGAACTGCATTCAGAGGGCTTTACTGTGCCTGTTCAAATGGTATTACGGTGCCTTTAGACCCCAAAGCCTTATGAGGTGTGCAAAAATAGGATGCAGGATATATTCTTCTTCTTCTTTCTTTTTTTTACACTAAAAATCAAACCCCCTGCTGTTATTCTCCCTCCAGGTCAGTTTGTGCTTGAGCACCACACCCTCCCGGGCCACAAGTCCCGCCTCATGGCCCCCGACCACCTCGGAGGCATCGAGTTTGACATCCAGCTGCTGTGGAGCGCTCAAACCTTTGACTCACCGTACCAGCTGTGGAGGGCTACCAGCTCCTACAGCAGGTCAGTACATTCATTCATAACCAGCCTATAGGCTCAGGTTGTGTTGACCTCCCATGATGATGAGTGTGTGATAGTAATAATTTTGTGTTTTCTTGAACAGGAAGGACTATTCTGGAGAGTACACAGTCTTCTTGGTCCCCTGCACTGTTCAACCAACTCAGCCGTGGATCGATCCCGGTGACAAACAGCTGTCCTGCACAGCTCACGCTCCAGAGAAGTACGACCAAACAGCTGCAGAGATTTACCGCAGACAGTTTCTCAAATTAGTTCTCTTATTTAAATCCAACAAGATTCCAAACAAATTTCAGAGTGATTTACTGCATAAGAAGCTTGAACACAATTTTTTTCCCACAGGTTTCTGGTGCCGATTGCCTTCCAACAAACCAACAGGCCTGTTCCTGTGGTTTACTCGCTCAACACGGAGTTCCAGCTGTGCAACAATGAGAAGGTGTTCATGATGGACCCGGCTACTGCTGATGTGTCGATGGCTGAGATGGACTACAAAGGAGCGTTCTCCATGGGTACATATATATA